GAGTCCCCCATTGTGGGGAGATGGGCGGGGACAAGTCCACTAAATAAATAAATAAAATAAAATACCACCCATAGGGGTGAGAGGGGATTTTTTTTTTTTTTGGCTTTCTCCTCTTATTCCCCCCCCCCAACAATAATCCTGTGAGGTAGACAGGGCTGAGAAAGAATAACAGGTCCAAAGTCATCCTGGGATCGTCTATGAGATGAAGTCCTTTGATTTACCTATTTTGTGAGAAATGTTTGCTGTCAATTTTTTAATATCAGAATGCAGAGTTTAATATCAGAATTGTAGAGTCCTTGTAATGGAGCAATAGTGTTTCTACTCCAGAGAAAGATAGCAGCAAAGGCTATCACTTTTTTTTCACTTTTTTTTTTTCAGATTTTCCATGGTTTTTTTAACAGTAATATGCTGTACTTATTTTTAGAGAGGTGTATGATGTCCCTGCATTGTAGACCAGGGTTATCTAGCCTCCTGGTGTCCTGGGTTCAGGGAAAAGGAAGATGATGCAAATATAAATATTTATATTTGAGTTACCCATTTTAGCTGCTGTTAATAATGGAAGGTTCCAGTTCCTCCTTCCTATTTTTACCCTGTGATGGGAAAACATGCCTAAACCAAGATTACCAAGATGTTTTGAGGCTGAAGCTGATTTAACCCCAGCTCTGGACAAGTTGGACCTCAACTGGACCAGCAGCTGTGCCAGCTGGAGATGGTAGGAATGGTTACCTAGGACTCTAGGAGAAGACTAGAGTGCTTCTGGTCAGACTTAATTGCCCAGGGAGCCTGTTGGCGAAACATGGCAGGCTTGTAAACGAAGCTGCGCGTCCACACTGCAATTGCTGGAACTTCCGTCAGGAACAGATCCCTTGGGGCTTGCCGGAGAATCTCAGGAATGTGGAAGCCACCTGACCGGATGGTTTTGTGCTTCAGATCCTGTTTTGCAAATAATCTCAAACACTCATCCAACACTTGCAATTTCCAGCTAATAAGTATTTCATCTTCCAGATTATTCGTATGCGTCCTCAGGATTCCTTCTGTTCCCTCGATTTGTGTAGCATTGCTGATATATTTATGCCTGTAAGCATGAAGTGGTCCTTTTATGTTTTGGAAGGCAACTTTTTAATACTGGTCTTTTTTAAGTTGCAATAGTGCGCCAAGAAATCTGGTTGTGAAGTTCCAGTAGTGAACATTATACCTGCAGAGCTGAGTTTTACCTTATAGCCCTTCTTTGTTGCTTGCATTTTAGGAGGTAGACGTATGCGTAGGTATGTGTAGAAGCTTCATTTGGCTACTATGATTGCTAGCTATCATAGATTAATAACAATAACACGTTGCTGCATATAGTCTGTTGACTTTGACAACATCGGTAGATTTGGGCTTCATAAAAATATGTACCTTCATAGGCCAGATGAAAAATCCATCTAAACTTGATTAAAAGCAAGACCAAAGGAAGGAAACGTTCCTTCTCTGTTTACTTCGGAACAACTGGTATTCAGAGGTAGACTACTCCTGAGCATAGAGGTTCCCTACGCTATTAGCTGTTTTACACTTTATTGAGAGCTAAAGGTCACACCCAGCACTGGTTTTCCTCTCTTGTCATCTGCTTAGCTGTAGAAATCTCAGGGTTTGTATCGGGGCAGGGCAACTTTTAAATGCACAGTTAATTGGTGGAAAGATAATTGCTTTGTGACAGGCTAATGAGAAACTGCTTGATGCAGAGGACTGAAAAGCAAAGCAAGACAAAACTGAAGCAGGGCAGAAAGAAAGTGTTTCTCTCTTTCATAACTGTAAAACTTTCCACTTCTCTATTTCAGCAGCGCCATTCAGTCCATTTTGTTTTATACCTACCCAGGTGATGGGTCTTTGAAGACCTGGCTGCGAGTTTTGCTCTCTCCTTATTTATTTTTTTCATTTATTTTAGGAAACAGTTTACCATTCTTTATGTGTAATTGTTTGTATGTATTTATTTTTTTAATTGTTGTACACTGCCCAGAGTCACCTTGTGTGAGATGGGTGGCTATATAAATATGATAAATAAATAAATAGATCATATTTATATGGCCCTTCCCCCTTTCTTGAAGGCTCTTGTTCACATTATCATCTGAGCCTGAGGTGGCTGTCTGGGAAATGCGCGCAGTGAAGAAGGCTCTCCTTGGGATGATCATGACAGGCAGTTACTCACCAGGATGACTCTGGATGAGGAATGCCAGTATCCACCTGTGGCTAGAGGTGAGGGAGGACCACGTTTGACCCAAATGACCAAATCTTGTTCTTCCCCAGCTGCATCCCTGACATGTCTGGAAAAAACAGAAAGAGCAAAAGGAAGATGTTAGAGCAGAAAAAATCCTACAGCCTGGAGGAATTTGTCGCCGAGAGGCCCCCAAACGAACACAATGCACTTTTGACTCGGTGAGTCTGGGCATAGGGCAGCCTTTCCCAAGAAGATTCCTGCTGGATGAATCAGATGATAACACCCGTGGATGTCAGCCACTCTGTTCTGGCTGGGGAAAATGGGTGTTGTAGTCCAGCAGTGGGTTATCATGGGGAGGAAAGGTAGGATAAGTAGTGTGAACCTGAAATAGTTTGGAGAAATCAAAGTCTCTGACGGTTCACACTAATAACCAAGTTATTAGATTAACCCATCTTCTGGATTTATGCGATACTCAACATATACTAACCAAAAGGCTTGAGTTCACAGTCAGGGTAAACCAAGAAAAACTAACCAAGGCTAAAACCAGCCAAGCTTAGTGTGCTATGTGAGTGGAACCACTGGAGTTGCAACTGACCCATTGAAAGGTCTTGTGTGAACAAGGCTGGTTTGTTGAAACCTGCTTTAAACTTTCCAAACTTTGGGATTGTTCTGAAGGATTAGGGATTTAATAAGTAAGTGAATATAAATTGATCCATTTGGTTTCTACCTCCTTTTAGATCCAAAACGTATGATGCATCTGTTTCCAAAGAGGCTGAGAAGGAAGCTGCTTCTGTCCAGGCCAGGACCTCTGTCTCTGATGTAAGTTGGGGTAGGTGAGATGAGATACCATAAGCTCCAGCTACTCCAGTTTCCTAGGGCCAGCCCCAATGATATTGTAACTGTCCTGATTCTGCCCTAGCTTAGAAGCTTTGATTTCCCTGCCCAGATTTTCTGATCCATGCAGGCCCGTTTTGTGCATCTGGAATGGAGGATAGAGGCTGGACCTGGATTGGCTGGCAGCTTTCTCGGCCTGATGGGGGGGGGGCATTCAAGATGCTACAATTTTAAGTCTTGGGGACTTATCTAGTGCCATTCAGGGGCAGCCCCAGCTCCCCACTGAATTATTTCTGGTTTGCTTATTTGGAAGAACCTACCTTTTACCTAGAGCTGACCTACATAGTACCTAACAGGCAGCTATCCTTAGATTTGTTTTCAGTGCTAGAGTAAACTTGCAATGGCCTTATTCCCCTGGAGACCTTCATGGCCTTGGAGTTTTAATCCCTTTCCACTAGATGGCTGCAAAAAGATACCCAAGAGTCTAACTCTTTGCTGCCACTTCGTGGACATTTTGGATTTTGGTGGCTCTAATGAAGCCTTGCTTTCCACATGCATTGTTTCAGTAGAGCTGCTATACTTTGCAGGTTGCTTGTGGCAAACACAGTTGCAAAAGCTGTTGCGAGCTCTCTGCTTAGTGGGGTCTCTAGCTTTGACCCAGGGTTTCTCAGACTTGGCCACTATAAGATGGGTGGACTTCAACTCCCAGAATTCCCCAGCCAGAATTCTGGCTTCCTTTCCCTTTGGCTCTTGCTGAATTTTGCAAAATTTACAAATCACTTGACAGATAGTATTTGTTTTGGTTTGCTTTTTTAAAAGTTGAGCTCTAAAAATTTAATTGCTTCCCCCCTGCCCCCAGCTGATGAAGCATGCCATGAATTTCCGCCGTGTCTTTAAAGGTGTCTCTGAAGAGGAGGAACTCCTGGAAAGTAAGTGATTCTTGCAGTATGCCATTCCATCTCCATGGCTCCTAAGCCCCTTGTATCAGGAACGGGGCTATAAGTCACGATGGATTGACTCCTCAAGAACTGTTTCATCCAATCTTCAGGGACATTCATAGAACAATGGCAGAAGATCTCCTTTGCATGTGGAAGGTGTGCATGTCAGAAGGGGAGGCAGTGATGTAAAATGGGAGGGGCTGTTTTCCAGGTCTGTGTTTCTTGTTTTTTATCAGGATGGGACAGTATGAAGTGTGGATCTCTGCTTTTTTTAAATTTACATTAATCCAAATTAAATCTTTCCCTCTAGCAAAAATCTTAACCTTTTCAGGTAGCAGATACTGTCATGGCAGTTTTTCAGGCATTAAAAAACTATACTGTAAACCATTTTTTAAAAAATGCACTGCCTGAGATCTCCCTGTAGAACACAGCAGTCTCATAAGTTCTCAGCTTTTTTACTTTTACAGTTTTAAAAAAGGTAACCATTTTCAAAGCTTATATTTAATGCCTTTGGAAATAAATAGATGATATTTAGTGATGTGGCAAGTGCGCCGCAGTGCTGACTCTCTCGTGATAGTTTTCATCGGTTTCCCACATCAAAATGATGGAAGGTTGCTCATGGTTTCTTCACCCCTGATGTGGGCTTTTAAAAATCAGTCTTTTTTATCCTGGCTACCAATCGATTGGAGGATACAAAGTCCCTGCCCTTCTGTTGGCTCATTGTTTGTGTCCCGAAAGTAAAACTCTTATTAATGTATCTTTGAAACACGTTGTACATCACAGCACATTCCTAATTAATTTTAGGAAAGCAGCCAGGAAAGAGAATGGAAAATAGAGTTAGAAGAACAGGTTGGAGCCTATGTCATGGATTTTAGATTGAAGCAATCATTACACAGATGGAATATAATGTCTTGGTAGGTCCCCCCAGGCTAGGGCAGTTTCCTGTGCTCCTGAATTCCCCACCATCCCCACTAATCCCTGTTTCCTCATCTTGTTTTGCAGCATTTTCATGTGCCTGGCAACGGGAGATGCCTTATTATGGCCGCCTGTACATCTCTTACAATCATATCTGCTTCTACTGCAGCGTGCTTCGACGGGAAGTGAAGGTGGGGCCTTCTTGCTTTAGCAGCTTAACAGTAGTAGGCCTGCTTCAAAATTTGAAGCTGATATTTCAGATTTGTTGTGGTGTTTGGATCCTAGTTGGCCACCATATTGTCTCTTTACTTCAGAGGCTCCCATCAGTGGCAAACGTAATGTATCACATACAACCTCACACTTAAAGAGATTCAAGATGATTATTTGGTATTTAAAAGAATAATCTTGAAATGTCAACTAAATAATTGTGCTGGGGTGGGTGGCATAGTGCTATTCATTGAATTTTCTTATTGATTTATTGTTTATACGTTATCTTTTTCTGAGGGCTTAAGGCAGTGTATGTGAGGATTTTTCCCAATTTTATTCCCAACAGTGACCCTGTGACAGAGGTTGGGTTGAGAGATAGTGACTGGCCTAAATCACTCAGTACAGGTAGTCCTCAGTTTACAACGGCAGTTGGGATCAGAATTGCTGTTGCTAAGCAAAATGGTCATAAAGTACAACAACACACTTAGCAACAGCAGTTCCAGCAGTCCCAGTTGCCGTTGTTAAGCAAGGACCTCACGTGACCATGACTTCCAACTTCCTGCCGGCTTCCCCATTGACTTTGCTTGTGGGAAGCCAGCAAGGAACATCAGAAATCGCAATCACATAACTGCGGGGACGCTGCAATGGCCAGAACTCTGAGGACTGGTTGTAAGTACCCTTGTTCAGTGCTGTTTTAACTTTGAACGGTTGCTGAACAAATGGACGTAATCTGAGGATGACCTGTAGCTGGGTTTGAACAAAAGCATAACTTTTTAATTTAACCATCTTGGGGGTTTAACTCACCCATTTTGGGGGATCAATGGCTATTACACTTGATGGCAGCGTTTCTGCGTCGGGAGACCATCTGTTGGGAGACTAGTGGGCTTCCTTGTGTAGTTAGTGGGCACTGTGAGAACAGACAGCTGGACTAGATGGGTCAGGTCCAATCCAGCAGGGCACTGCTTATGTTCTTGTGTTCTACTATTAACTGGGCTCACATGAGACATTCAGATTAGTTAAAAATTTAAAACTGCATTTGCATGTTAAACTTGGTAAGTGTTAAGATTCTTGCTTGCTTGTTCAGCATGTTGTGAGAACCTAGAACATGAGTTCATTCAGTACCATTTAAGTATGTTGTGTGGATGTAGTCATTAATACAGGCATAGCACATTAAGCAATTAAGAGAACTAACCTATGTTAAAATTAACTCCTCCTTCATGTGGGTTGCAGATTCCACCCTTGTTAAAGATCCAACCAGCCACAGAATTTCCAGACTGGGGGAGACTTAATCCTGGCCCCCACTCCATCCCTGTCACTGCTGTACTCTACTGGCTCCCTACATGGCCACTATGGCTTTGTCCAGTGTGTAAACTCAATCACCGTCACTTTCCCCAGTGTCTCATCAGGAACAATGAAAAGCCAATCTATGCCTGACTTCCTTGTTCCTCCTATTTTCTCTGGCCAGGTTATCATTCCAGTGCCAACCATCAGGATCCTAAAGAAGGCCAACACAGTCTTGTTAGTACCCAATGCCATCTGCATCCGTACAACTGAAGGAGAGAAGGTAAGAGACCCTTAGTAGCAAGGTTACCTTGTCCGAAGTCCTCAGATATGCCTCAGCTAAGGACCAGACAGACCTAGCAGCAGCTGTGGGTCAGGCCTACTTTGGAAGGGAAAATTCAGTGCTGTCTGGTCTTGGACCAAAAGTTGCTGAGACAGGGAACTTGTTTTTTCCCAGGTCAGACTATTTCCCCAGACTATTTCCCTCAGGGCCTGCTGCGTAAAACAGAGGGTCCCCCCATCCCCATCCGAAGGGAGAGAGGAAACAAATTGCGCGGTCTCTGACTGGGTGTTGTGCTGCAGCGTAATGTTTGTGCTCCACTCTCTGTTGCAGTTTGTGTTTGGATCCATCCGGTCACGAGAAAGTGCCTACCAGCTCCTGCGCTCTGTTTGTAAACATCTCCAGGTAATTAAGCTCCAGACTGGAAATGTTGCTGCATAGCTGTCCCAGATTATTTTTTCAATCCTCACCCACGCATCCCCACCCATCTAATCTCAATAGGCTTGGGGCCATCAAGTGTGGTTTAATTGGTTTCCCTGCACGTTGCAGAAAGTTGGATTCCATGATCTTTGTGGTCCCTTCTCACTTCACAGTTCTGTGATTCTGTGATTCGGGTCCAGTTACTTTAGCCAGAACTAGCCCTGCTGTTCGGCACAGCAAGGGATCTGCTTTTTCAGCCGGTTTTGCCAATTATTGATTATTCTATTTATTATTCTAGCATTTTTAATAGTTCACACAGAGATGCTTGTGGCGATTTTTGCCTTGGTTTTCAAAATCCTGAGGCGGTCTTGGGTGCTGTAGGGAGACATTTTTAATGCCCCAAGAAGCAAAACCAAATGGTTGCTTCTGATATCTCCTTCACCCCATTTGTGGGGCCACACTAATCTTTCCTCTTTCTCCTTGCACTGCTTGTAGGACAGCAGTCAGAACACCAACCCAACTGCACCTTCCATCAGCTCAGAGCGTCTCCTGAAGGTACCCCTGGGGAGCACTTCTGTGAGTGTGTATATGTGGAATACACATGTATGTATGTATGAGGGAATACACAGGGAAGTGGCAAATAATGTAAACATCCTCTTTCACACAGTTTTGTTATTAGGAAATAAATGGTCACACTCATAACGCTTTGTGCAAATCAGGGATGGAGAACCACTGTTCTTTCAAGGGCCCCATTGCTTCCAAATTATCTCTTAGGCACTGCATGCCAAGGATGGTGGTGCTGGAATCAAAAGCAGGTGGTGCCTCCTGTTCTCCTTATTCCTGACCCACTTTTTCCTCCCTGGTTCACCCCCTGTTCTCCCTCTTTTGTTTTCTGATTTTGATACCACCTTCTCTCTGTCCCAAGCAGCAGGCTGAAGGGGGAGAGATAAATAGCTCTTTCTGTGGCATCTGCAGGGTCTCACTGCTTTCACCCAAATGACAAAAGCAGCACGGTGGTGTTGCGTCACAAATTCTGCCCCTCTTGGTTTGTGTGCAGTGTTGTGATGTGTGAGGCAGGGCCTGCCTTTGTCAGTCTGAGCACATCTTGTCTTCCCCCCCGCCCCCCGCTCTGCTCATCCCAGCAGATTACCAAAAGTGGGATTAATCACTGATAAACCTAGTTCCTACATCATGGTTAACTCTTTCAACCAGTGACACAGTAAAATCTGCTTGCCGGTGGTTCTGCAGTACACGAGTACTCTAACTGTACTTTATGTATACGATCTTTTTATATAGTTTGACTTTTTAACTAATTAATATAGATATTTATATTTTTAACTGTTTTCAGGTTTTACTTTAATTGGGAGTCACCCTCTGGGGGAGATGGGTGCATACAAATTTAATAAATAAATAAATAAAATAAAAATAAATAAACTGCACCCCAAATGACCATTTGGGGACTACAAAGCCCCCCCTCCCCCAGTACTTTATGTCCCATGAGCCTTTGCCCAGGAAAATACTGTCAAGGCTTCATGATGTAAGTAGTCCGTTCCCCATTGGCCAGGAGCAGAAGGCGTGGCTCAGCCATTGCAGCCAATCAGTGTTTGGGAGATGTGTTCTGTACTTCTCAGAAAGTTCTGCTCTTTCTCTTCAGCTCATTTTCTTGGAGGACTAAGTATGCAAAAAAAAAACAAAAAAACAAACCAATAATTACATTACAAAAAACCCCTCTCATTTCACGACTGTATGGAGTTAGTTTTAGCCTATGCATGACTGGGTCTGTTTGGGGTTAGATTTACCCCAGGGTCCATTGGAGTTGGGTGGCCAATAAATTTGAATTTAAAAAATAAATAAATAAAAATACCTCCTAAAAGTTAATGCAGTATAATGTAACGTAAATGTAAATGATCCAGTTTAGTTGCCTGGATCAATTGGAGGTCCCAAGATACTGTAATCCTTAGCCACTGAATCAGTTAAGTGTCTCACAAGAACAAGGTGCTAACCAAACATACTTAACAAAAGCAGCTGAGATCCCCTGGGTAATACAAATCTGCTAACCAGGGTTGTCAGTGGTGGAGGTGAATGGGTGCATATAACTAAATGAGTGTTGCACCATTGCAAACAGTCATTTTGACAAAGTGGTTAGATTTTGTGGCTACCTCTGCTGCTAACCCAGTTGTTGCAAGAAGAGGCATCGGGGCAATTTTAATCCAAACTCTACAGGAGTTGAAAATGGAAGAGGCTCCTTTAGAACTTTCACGGCCAAGGCCGGGAAGCCCAGGCTGTGAGCCCCTGGAGGCTAACAGCTATGTCTCGCAAAGCAAAAGTTGCTTGGCTGCAACATCTAAGCCAGTATTTCTCAACCTTGGCAATTTTAAGACATGTGGACTTCAACTCCCAGAATTCTGATCTAAACTATTCCCAATCTGTCCTTCTGCCTGGTAGTGGGAAAAGGACAGTTGATCTAAGGAAGCCTTCCTACTAGTTTCCTAGCACAAGGGCTCATGGGATACAATGCAGGAAGTAGGCACTCTTTATTTTCCCAAATAGCGATCCTTTTAATCTGACAGATCTAAAAGATCAGGCTAAATGGAGTGAACCAAGTCAGAGTGAAGGGAGAATGTTTCTTGAGAATATTACAAGGGCAAAATCAGGGTGTTTTTTTTATTATTATTATTTTTTAAAAGCACTCCACCAAGGTCTGTCTTACCTGGGCTGCAAAGCTCTAGGTGGCCATGGGATGGCAGCAAAGGGTTAAGAGATTTCTGTACATCTTTGCTTCCATCTAGTGGTCTAGATTCTTCAAGCCCAAATGTGATACGATAACCCCACCATCAAATTGGTTCATCTGTAGTACAGATATTCCCAGTACAGTCCAATCTTAGAGTGAAATGCTTCTGGATTATTCTGAATACTCTACAAAAGTCTTCCCCCACCCAATCCTCATTGTTCTTTCTTTGTAGATCTCTAAGGAATCAGATGCAAATCTCAACTTTCCAAAGAAAACAGGTGAGATTTGGGTTTTCTATTTGCTATGCTTTATTTCAGAGTGAATAAATACAGGGGAAGGAATGGCAGACTGCTTCCATCCAAAGGCCAGATCCCCTTTCTAAGCTCCTCTCAGTAGCTGTGTTGGACACGCCTGTGTCTGGCAGAAGCCACTCCTTGCCTTTCTCAAGAACAAGGATCTGTGCATCCAGGAGGGGATGAGAACAGTAATACTACCAAGTTAAAGACAAAGGATCTCCAAGTAGAACAGCAAGCATCTGTTAATAAAAGGAATACAGATTAGGACTATATATTTGAATGAAAACATAAGCATTCTTGAAGAAAGATAGGTAAAGACTACATGGACACATGTAATTTTCTCGGAATGGGGCAGAAGAGGTCCGCAATTGCTTTTTTTCAGGATGGTTTTTCAGTTTCCTAATCAAACTTAAATGCCCCCCTTCCTTAAACTCCCCTCTGAGGACTAACTAGGTCCCATTTGGTTTAGCTTTCTCAAGACAGCCCTTGTCTGGTCTGAATGGATACCTTGCAGAGAGGTTTTGAAATGAGGTGTAAAGACCCACAAAGATGACCTTGGAGAAAGTATGCAAAGTTCCTTATCAGAGTGTGAACTCAGCCTGGGAAAACAAGACAGTGTGTGAGAAAGAAATTTAAGGTTGCCTGTTTGTCTCTCTTTAGTATAAGAGGGAAGGAAGGAGAAAAGCTCTCAGGCTTTCAAGATTCTATTGTTATGGCCAATATCAATAACATAGAGTTTCAGTATTTCTTATGGAGTCTGTTCCCTGATCTGGGCACCTGGAAGGGCTGACATGAGGCCACCAGCCACATATGACTGAGGATTGCAGGATATAATACCCCTGCTTCGTGAGGTGAGCTGATTCCCATAGGCTTCCAGGTGCAATGCAAGGTGCTGGTTACCCCCCTGAAAAACTCTTCATGGCTAGGCCTGGGTTATTTGTGGGACTACCTGTCTCCAATCATCTCTGCTTGTCCCACAAGATCTGAGAGGGTGGATATGCTCAGGGTCCCTTCTTTAATCTGATTGAAGTAGTTGCATCTTGATCAGCAAATCTCGCCACAATTTGGAGCACGTATACATCTAGCCATAGTGCCTCTGTTCCCATATTGGGTGCTCATGAGAGCTGTACTGGAGTATAGAAGGTGATTGTTTTTTTCCCTCCACTGGGCATGTGTCCCTGCCCTGCTTGGTGAAGATTTGCAGGCATCAAATTCCCAGCACCTCCCCCCTTTTTAATTGATTGATGGTGCCATCAAATTGGCATCAGCAGCCACACAGATAGATTTTCTCCATGATGATCTGTCCCTAACTAGGTCTTCAGGTCTTCCAACAGTGGACCCATCGCCACTGCAATTGAGTCCATCTACTTTGGTGCTGGTTTCTTTTTCCTTCCACCTTTCCCAGCACTACAGGCTCCTGGGAGTTCACATTATGCTAAGAGATCTAGGTCTTAGTATAATGTGTACAAAATGCGATAATTTGAGTCTGGTCATTTGTGCCTTGGTTGAGAACTCTAGACTGGTTTGTTCTGTGCTCCCTTTGTTTCTTTCCTTGGTCGTCCATGGTATTCTCAGGAGTCTTCTCCAACCCCAAAGTTCAAATGCATCGATACTTTCTCTATTCTGTTTCTTCCAAGTCCAACTTTTGCTCCCATAGATTGTCACAGGGAAACCATTGCCTGCACAGTTTTGATCTTTGTAGGTATGGACATGTCATGGCATCTGATATCTTTTCCAAGGCCTTCATTGCTGCCTACCAAATGCTAGTCCGCAGCACATATCTTGAGTGTTGGTCCCTTTACTGCTGATCAGTGATCCTAGAAAACAAACTATCCACCACTTCAGTATTTTCATTGTCAGTTCTCAGGCTGTCTCAGGACATGGGTTTTCTTCTTCTTTTACAGATGTGGCAGAGAGGATCCAGATACCAGATGAAGCATCTTGCAAGCAGCAACAGCAAGTGGCAACACAGCAAAGTAAGTAAGATCCTTTCAATTTTGAGAGTTATTGGTGCGTAGGCAAAAAGTAGGTCTGGATTTCCCAGTACAGGGGACAATATTTGGGAAGAGAACATTCCTTTAAGAAAAATCTACCTCCAAGACCTGCAGAGGGTATAGTGGTGACTGAATGATGTCAGTGATAGGGGTGGGGCTAAACTGGGGGCAAGAGCAAAAGAAATGGGTTAATTCTAGTAAATCAGGTGGCACAGAACTTCTTGTAATCAATAAGAGAAATAAATAAGTCGAATGAAGATGGAAGATGCCTATCTTAACTTTTATTTTAAAACAAAAAGATTGGCCCACCAAAAATCAGTGGTTTGCTATAAAATTTCAGCGACACCATCTTGGGAGATCCAGTTGCTGTAAAAACAGATCAGGGTTGCCATAGATTGACAAGTTTTTCTGACCCACGGCAGTTTGAACAATAATAACAGTGGGGGGGGAAATACCAGGGCATCACTGCCTTTAAATTAGTAACAGCAGAAGAACTGTGAATTGTAATAATTATGTAGATATACTTTGCTCAATTCATTCCTCTTGGGGTATTTAGCTCTGTTCCTTTTCAACCCGCTTGCTGGGGGTTGTCTTCCAAAAAACTGGATAAAATTTCCCAGTCATCCTGGCATTGCTGTTGATCTAATAAACAAGGACTTGGTTATCTTTGTCACCCTCTTCTAATGAACTTTTCTTTGACAGAGGCATTGCAGACTACGGAATCGTTAAGAAGCTGGAGTACTCAACTGTGCCGTCTCAACACCATTATTATTATCTACCTCTTCTTGTGAGTGAACCTTAAAACCCTGGAGTTGGAAGGGGCTGTGGGGCCATCTAGCCCAACCATCTGCTCGGTGCAGAAATCCAAATTACTGTATCCCAAACAGAAAACTGCCTAACCTCTTTCTGAACACCCAGCAAACAAAAATTCATCACTTTCTGCCTAATATGTTCAACTGTTGAAGCGTTTTACAATTAGGAAGCATTTAGTAACATTCAGCTGGAATCTGTTTCCCTGTAATTTAAAACTGGCCTTTGGAATGCTAGGAACAGATCCCCAGACATTATTTCCTATTTTTAAAAAATCTGATTTGTGGGTTACGATGAAGGAAAACTGTTTCAGTTGCTCTAGTCACGGTTATTCAAGCTGTTTTAGAAACTGGATCTTGTACCTCCTTAGAAGTCATTACTTGTCAGGCCTAGCCCAAGGAACTCCAAGAGACAATGCCAATTCAGTCCAGCTATGTTTATTAGCTACAACCTCTAGCAAGAATCTTCCCAGAC